ATACATGGCTCTTTGTTATTGAGGTGGGGAAAAATTAGACTTGGCCAAGGACACTGGGTCAATGGAATGCTTCCTAGACGAAGATTAGATAGAGAGAGAATGTACATAAACTCAACACAGATCTGTGGAGGTGGGATAATTCAGAATTCATGTCAGGGAAGGAAACCAGAGATTAGGAAATTAGGGTTTCTTGCTATTTGTTTCTTTTCCAATTTTATTTGTCTTCCAGTTCTTATTCTTTTAAGAAATTTGGGCTATAGTAGGATTTCTATTAGCTAATTTTCATTATAGGAAGTAGATTATTTTGGGAAATTCTTTTGAATTAGGATTCAATTTGTAAGATTTGAGATCTTTTCGACTTTCATTAGGTTTAGGATTCGAGTTCTATAAATATAATTTCTTGTCATTATCAATCGGAGTTGAATAATTTGATTTCATGAGAATATTGTGAGTGCAGTGTGGTCACAGACATGGGTGATCCCTATTATGGGTAGCCATTCTTCTTGTTCTTCTTCTTCAAACAATGCTTTCAGTTACTGTTCACAGCACAGTAACAGTGATTGAGCAGAAACTTCTTCTCTTCTTCCTATGTTACTGTTCATTGCCTAAAGAAGAGCCCCAAGACCTCATCTTTTCATTCCCTCATTCATATTTTTTTGGATTATTATTTCAATAGCCTAAATCTATCCTACATCACAGGAGATATGGTGCTTAGACTCTAGCTTCTTAGAAACAAACCAGTTTCTGTAAAGAGTTCTGTTCACTTTTGACTGGACCATTTTATTTTATCTATGTTGTCCGTTTAATGTGATTAAAATGGCCCCTTTACATGAATGATGTTAATGATTTTGTTACAATCAATTAATGCTAATCAGGAAACGCTTACATCTGGAAGAATTCACCTGTATGATTCACCTCCCTGAAGGAATAAATTGAAGCTTAAATTTTGTAACAAAAGTTTAAGTGAGAACGCTTGGTATGTTCCTTATTTATAGTGTTTCCAATTTTAAAGGCCCCTTTTTATGATTTCATCTTCCAAAATTTCCCAAGTTGCCTGGGCTAAATTAAGGGCCACTAAGAAAGTGTATATTGCAATCAAATTCAATGGTTAGCTACAAATTTAGCCATTCTAATTATGCAAGTTCATTGGTCTCAAAACTAGTTAACTCTTTTCAGTAAAACTGTATTAGGATTTTTGTGACTATTGATTAATCTTCTTATGTGTTAGGTTGCAGATGAAGTTTTTAGTGCAAAACCTTGGACAGTGCCATGGACAGCACAGACCATTCTGCAGGTATTCTTTTTCTTCTTCTTCTTCTTCTTTTTGCTTTGAGTAAAATATCATGTGGTTTTCAATAACTAAATAATAATCCCTAATACATCTATCTTAATCTATGTAACATTTCTCACAAGAAATTATTTGCAAGGACAAGCCACTCAACAGCCATTGTTTGATTTCAAAATATCTGTTACTTAAAGCTTTAAACAGCAGCAGATGCTTTTATGTGCTTTGCTTGAGAATGGCTTTTTACTTATTATCTTTGCTTAGGATGTCACTTTACCTCTGAATGATATTATTTAGGGCTATATTATATGCAAGGAATGGAAATTGTAGGTTCATTCCAACACCTTCCCAGCTTTGGGAATCCCATTCTTGTAGTTATTCACATATTGTTCTGTTGTAGTAACTCACCATTATCATTTCTGAGAATTATTTATTCTTGGTTGTCAGTATGTGATCTAACCATGAGGTGGTAAGTGGCTACCTTTTTTGAAATAAAGGAGATCTTTGCATGTCCATAAAGCTTTCTTTTCTGGCATAATAACATTGACATATATGTTTACCATTTTTCTTTTTCTATTTACAGATGGAAGTTAAACTATAAAACACTCCAAAAAAAAAAAAAAAAAAAAAAAAAAAAAAAAAAAAAGAAAAAAAAAAAAAAAAGAACACAAACAAAACAAATGGAAAAAAAAGAAAGATTCATATGGTTGACATTACTGTGTTTTGTTGTAAGCTTACATATCCATGCAAATACAATAAAAAAGAAAAAATTTCTTGGTCTTGTAGGTGACACTTCTCTGGATTGCATCCTTCTGGTTCATAGGCTCTTGGATTATTCCGTTCTTGCTCACATAGCAGGCTTCAGAAAGGAGTCCTTGACATATAGAGGGCAAGCTTTATACAGCCTTTTGACCGATGTGGCTGAAGGTCTTGCTGGGATTGCAATCCTCCATCGCTGCCTTGCAAGATTCCGCCCCCTTTCATCTGACTGGTTCAGGTTTAGTCTTAAGGGAAGTGGCAGTTTGATGTTCTTTTGGGCTGCCTTATGTTTCCTTAGTCAACCGTCTTTCACAGGTCAACTTAAATTTGTTGCCCATTCTCCCATCTACACCAGTCACTGTCTCAAGTGTTGAACAATCAATTATTGCACGTGATCCAGTGGCCATGGCCCTTTATGCCCTTGTAGTGTCAGTTTGTGCTCCTATTTGGAGGAGATTGTCTTTCGAGGTTTTCTTCTTCCTTCATTAACCAGATACATGCCTGTATGGTGCTCAATTCTTGTGAGTTCGGTAGCTTTTGCCTTGGCACATTTCAATTTGCAGAGGATGCTGCCACTTGTATTCCTAGGGGTGGTGATGGGTGCTGTATTTGCTCGGTCAAGGAACCTGTTGGCATCCACGCTTTTGCATAGCCTCTGGAATGCCTTCGTATTTCTAGATCTTATGAAATGACATTCCTGTTCTGTATTTATTTCAATGTTTTTGTAATCAGCTTTGTTTCCATTTCATATCATGATTTGTAATTGTGTATAATTGTAGTGTTTCATTAATAAGACTTTCTCAGAGATTGGTTTAGACTGTGAATGTAACAAAGTTCTCTGTAACTATCTAAACCTACACATCATGATGTTAATGGACTCTAATACCATGGCCATTTTTTCACCTCCTGGACTCGGCATACTGGCTAGGTGAATTCTACTCTTGAATGTGGGGTATTTGGCTGAGGTGTTAGAACTGTAACGATTTTCCTGCTTTGCATCTTTCTTATTTCTCCGTATTTCTAGCTGGTATATGGTATAAATTGACTGGTGACAAAAAACTGAATTGTCTATGCTGGAGAACTGGTCTATATGGCAGTGGACAAATCAAATCTTATTTGCTGAGGTCACTACGTTGGCAAACTAATGACATTTTTCAGAATGGAAGGCGTGAATCTTGGGGCAATTAGAAGCCTTAACAATCTTTCCGTTTTTTAAGCAGTTGTTTATTTGTTTTAAATCCCCTGTTTGTAGAACACCCGTGTCATGTCTATGACCTAGGATAACCTATTTATATTCTAGCTACTTGGATCCAAACAATAGAGTAAAGTTTTGGTGATCAAGTGGGTTCTTTATCGACCAACTTTTTAAATCTTCCACAATTATTATCGATTTATGTATTTATTAATTTTTGCAAAAAGACATTCTCCTCAGAATATGATTGGTTTATGAATGTTTGGGTACTTTTTCAATAGCCTTTTGTCTTGGAGGATAACACAAGGGGGGACCGGTTAGTTTCAAGTCACTGTCTCTTTGCAGTCATTGCCCTTGTAGCATTTGCATTCCTCCGACAGCTATAGAGACCCTTGTCTGCTTTTTTTGTTACTTTAGATTGTTTGCGAATAAGAATTAGTCAATTTTTATCGATAAAGACATGGCTCTTTCAGGCATTTTAACCTGAGAAGAGCGGGAACTCATCACCACTCCCTGTTAGTGGATGTGAAAGCCTGAAATTTCCTTACCTAGAGAGCTCAGGTGATATTTTCTTCTCCTTCGACAATTCTGATATACCTTTCTAACGGATTTTAGGTCAATATTATAGCTACGTATGATTAGTGGCATCATCTACATTTTCTTTCTCCTGTATATAAAATGCATTTTTTATGTCTTGCAGTTCTATTGCCATGTTGGTGATGGGGTTCTGGTATCTTTAGAAATCTTTGGACATTTTTTCTATTCGCTGAGCTCTTCTCCTTGCTTCTTCCGAAGAATATATTATGATACTGATATTTCTTGTGCGATAAAATGTGGCAAATATTTTAAATTCAAACTGGACTTAGAAAAATATTGAGACCAAATGCTTTATGGTTATTGGTTGTTGAGAGTCTGAATACTGAAGTTTGCAGGAATCACCCTAGGCAGGCATGCGGATTTTGTAATTGTTGATTCCCTTCTGGATTTTCTCGGTCATGCTTCTTGCTAGATTGATGTGACCCATTTTGAACAGATTAAAGGCACCTGTTCTAACCTAGAATTGCAGCATGATCAATAATTGATTTTCTCCATCAACTCATTGCAAGAATCACACAAAAACACAACTTGCATGCTGCATTGTGGCATAATAAAGTATTTATCATCTAGCTTGAGCTGACTGAGCTGCGGTAGGTAGACTAGTTCATTGTAGTGGCAAAATCGACTTCTCAAATATGGTTTTACCAGTCTAAAACTAGTTAAAATAAACACCTAAGGTTCATGATCTGATTGGTTGACAAGTATAATCCACTTTACTGTCCAAAAATGTACAGAATATTGGTTTATGAGAAACGGGAGGTAGGAATATTTTATGACTCTGCATTAACCTATTTCTCATAAACAGTCGTGAAATTCCTTAATTGTTATCTATTACTAGGGAGAGTAAATAAGTGTGAAGGGACATCATCTTCTATGAGAAGCTTTTTGGAATATGAAAAGAAAGGACAGGGTAAACCAAGGAACAGCAATACATTTGGGTTGTTGTGGGCCTTGTATTTCTGTTTCTTTTCTCCTCTTTTCTCTTTCAACTATTAATGTAATTGTCTTTAGCCAAGACAACCACACATTCTATTTTTGTGGAGATGATAGCAAGCTACAATACGTGTGCGTCTATATGTGTATATATATTAGATATCTATCCCCATATGCCTTCTATACTTGCAAAACTTGTTCTCCTCTTGTACATACCCTGATCAACTGGAGGCAATGGAGGCTTCCCAACCTCTCTCCATCGAAAGTTTCTCATATAGTTGGTTAGTGAACCTAAAGCCTACCTTTGATAGCCTAGAAGACTCACTTAGGGCCTCCCTTGATGCATCCGATGAAGCTTCCTTCATAGAGATGGACCCAAAATTAACAGCCTCAAAGAGATTTTTCAGAAACTCCCAGGACTTCAACTTTGACTTTCCTGTATCACAGTCTCCTCTAACCCTTGTTCATGCTGATGAGCTAATCTCCAACGGCTTCCTTCTGCCTCTTTTTGTAAATCCATTGAAGATGGAAGCATATGGTTCGTCAGATTCCTGTCCAACTACACCAATCTCCTCAAATGCCCAGAAAAGTATTAATTCAGCCAGAAAGGCTCGCTGCTCATCCTTTAGAAGGTGTAGAAGATTGTCAAATCGAATCCTTCAGAAGTACTTGGAGTTTATCAGGCCTCTGTGTCAGAAACTACGGGGCAAAAGATCCAGCTGCCCCAGAACTGTTACTGCTGACAAGAGAATGCTAGAAGTAAAAAGCTGGATTTATTCACCGGCAACTTCTCCAAGGACAAGTGTGGCTTATTCTGTTGATAATTGGCGCAGGTCCTGCGATTCTGAGAGCTCAATTCACGAGGCAGTTCTCCACTGCAAAAGATCCATTGGTATGCCAAACTCCTTAACAAGTTTTTGAAGACAGAACTTGTTATTATCAGGCAAGTAGATGAAGTTATTGTGCACAGAAAGGAGATATGCATGTAAAGGACAGGAATGAGAGTTCTCGAGACGACATCTGTCAATCGTTCATTCTCAAAGGAATATATGTTTGTCCATCTAGGAAAGTGTATGATTGTATAGAGATCGAAAATTCTGGAATTCGGGAGGGAGAAGATAAATTATAATATCGTATTTGTCTTGTCCCTGTGAGTAAATTTTTAATTTTGTGGAATTTGCTCCTTGGGCAGTTTTCTTGCAGTGAAATGTGAATTATTTTCTTCATATCCGTTTTCACTCCTCGTCAGATGAATTACTGCAATTTCAGGTCCTGTTTATATACTCCGCAGATTTTATGGTGCATTACCTTTGTTGCGAGATCAAATTCAAATTCTATCATGTGTTAAATGAAATCCTTAAATTGGGTTTAAATGACTAAATGTTTAATTCAGAGTGGGGATTGAGCCAATTCTCATCTGCAGGCTCATTTTTATCTTTTTCTTTTTTTTTTTGTGGGCCCGGGGGGGGGGGGGTGGTGGGGGGTGGGGGGGTAAATGAAGAAAACCCCAATCCCTTGTCAATATCCCAACCTAATCCTAGTAGATTTGCTTAGATCCTGTTCTCAATAAATTTTTAGGTTCAACATGAAATTTTTCTCCACTCTTTTCGTGTATTTTTTTCTTTAGATTTCCTTCAAAATAACCCATTTTTTGGAGAAAGAAAAGAAAGTAATGCAAGGCAAATGATATTTTAAGAGGAGAAGGCTTTGAATCAAAATATTAGCGCCTTCTAACCACCTAATTTATAATGAAAAATGATCAATTGACACTTAATGTAAGTGCAAGACACTTACACCACATCTCACACCGTTGATTTGGTCAAATTTACGAATGATATTAATTTCATCTGTTGAAGTTATTATTAATGTCATCCATTGATTTTGAATAAATCAACGGTATAAGATGTGGTATAAATATTTTGCACTTATACTAAGTATCAATTGATTTTCCTCATTTACAATATAATATTATCTTTTTACGCATGCTTGGCTTATTTAATCATATTTGATTTGGTTTAATTAACCGGTAATGTGGGGGCGAGAGGGGGATGGATGGACGTGTCAGATTACATTCCTTTCCTTTTCCTTGCTGTAATTAATATTGGTTGACACTCTATCATATCCCAAAAGTCATCGTTGTTCTCCTGAAAATGATGCCTCGCCTTCTCCTTGAAGCTTTTCTTTGTTTTTTTTTCTTTTTTCTCTTTTAGATTTTTATTCACGCCTATAGTAACCGCTCCTGTAAATTGCAATGGTTTCCCATGCTAAAGCTTAATTAGCTCTCCCTGGACTATTTCTGCCCTGAGAGAGTTATTTTTCTGGATCCAAACCTGTGCTTCTGACTGGGAACTTGATTTTCAGAAGCGGATATCTCTCAAGTGGTTATCAACTTGTCATGCCAAGGAAGGACAACAGAAGCCGAAAAAGACAATGTTTAAAGAGATTTATGAACACTACTTAGGTTTGAGCATTATTATTCCCAAACGGTCCCTCCGGATTAGGATATAATTCTAGATACTAAAAGGGGACAACCAATGGGCATTGATTCAGCTGAACTTAGACAGCAAGGTCCTGAAATAATGGGCGATGGTGTGCTTAGAGGAAAGCAAGAGAACTTGATCATGTTTCCTAGTGCAAATTTGTCCATGACACACAGCTCTAGCTACAGATCTCTATGGAAGAAGAGAGAGGGGGGGGGGGGGGGGGGAGGTGGGATATTGGTAAGTGAAAGGGGAAACCAATGCTGTAATCTAGGAAATTGCCTACGGGTGAACTCCTAGGGCAGTTTTGGGCACAACCCATCTCAAGAGTCAAGACTATTGTCACCCCAAAACAACCAAGCAAAGAATGAGAAAATAAGAAGAGAAAACACAGAACATACGTAAATAATTTGGTTTGATTTTGATATAAAACTATTTTTATAAACAGTAAAACAGATAAATTCGTTATATACCATCAGAGAATTCTTATATAATTTCTTCAATCTAGTTATACCTCAAACTTTTTTTATTCTCACTGTAAATTATAAAATTTTAGAAGCGATTATAGTAATAAAATACTTAGATTTACATGTGTTTAATGATTTTGTTTTCCACTTCACTAACTAAAACCTCCCGCCTCCACACCCCATCCAAAAAAAAAAATTTCTAAAATCATTTAGTTATCCATCTGCCAATATCCAAGACATCTTACAATTATCGTTACCATGCTGCTGTTCGAGAAATTTGACATCGGAGAAACAGCTACGCAACCCACATGAATGAATTAAAGAAATCAGTAGAGCTATCAGCTCAATCTAGTTGCACATGAGGGAGCGCCTTCTCGGGTAGCTTTCGTGCTTTTTAGTTTGTAGCCATAGATTGGATTCCCTTGTGCAAAATTACAACGATGCCCCCTGGTCCCCCACGAGACAAGCACGTGAGAGTTCAAATTATGAGAATGCTTATATCCTCCTCGGTGTCTCGGACGGTTCTGGCTCTGTACAATTATCCCAGAGACAACTAATATTTTGCATTGTACAAGCACAATGCAGCTCTCATTATGACTACAAAATGTCACTAGAATTAGTTAATTAAATCCATCGTATTAAGATAATTAAAGAGTTTCAGAATACCAAAAATTAAGTATTTGAAGATAACATTAATAAGGTAAGGTAAGATGACTGCTAGCATGCAAAATATATATATATATATTTCTGACTATATCTTGTTATATTATTTATATTTAAGGTATTAAATTTTTTTATTGGTAAAACTAATTAAATAGATAAAATTACAACCAAATTTATGACTTGTTAAATTAGTCTCATGTCCACCTCAATTTTTAATTAATTTATTTTTAATAATTATACTCTTAACATGGCTGAATCTAGCTTTTATTACTATATTAATACACTACCTGTATAATATGAGACATATTATATTCAAATTATACTGAGATATGAATTTACCTTATCGTTAATTAGTTGAGTAAAAAAATCTTATATATTATTTGGTTGCACTTGAGTTTTAATAATTATGATATGTTTAAATCTAAATAAAGTAACTTTAATTACTATATTAATACGATACATTAAGGTATGAATTCTAGTTGGTCATTAGTCTACTGAGAAAAAGAAAAAAAACCTTATGTATTATTCAGTTCCATTTTGAAAGAGTCGTTGAGGATAATAGGAGCCAAAAATGAGTTATTTGATTTGTGCATTCCATTAAAAACCTAACTCTCTTTTATTATGGAACATAACTTAACCACCTCTTTTTTTTTTTTTTTTTTTCCAATGCATTTATTTTCATATTTAATAAAACCCTTGTATCCCTTTAAGCCCTTCCTCTTGTTTATTGGCAACTTGTTCGGTTAAATTGACCTGATTTTAACTAATAAGCTATTTTGTAGGGGGCAAAGAGATAGAGAGAGAGATTTGTCACATGTGAGGAAGAAAGGAAGGGAGGGACATGGAAAACCTTTGCTAGGAGAAAAGCCCAAATGTTGACAACAACGCTTCACTGTTTCTATCTGCTTCTTTTTGTCTCATTTGTTGGATGCCCTCTATTCTCTCGCAGAAGGAAGCATCACCCACTACCCAGAGTTTGTCTTTCTATTGCTGCGTATCAATTTAAGAGTTGGGGCCACCAGTGGTGGTGGGGGGACCAGAAACCTCCAACATGCTACTTGTCGCTCATCCCAATTCCTTAATCACTTTCGCTACTAGAAAAGACGATTGTGTAGCTATATAGTAAATCATGCCTGGAACCAGAGTATGGGGTCTACCCACAAAGAGGGTAAGCCATATGAGTGAATAAAAAATGGTTTTTTCATGCTAGCTTAGTCAATAAACGAGAATTACATATCACTGAGGGTTTTCCCTCAGAGAGAGACCCAAAACGTGGTGGAAGCTCTGTTTTTACCAGAGTTTTCCCAAAAGGCTCTGTTTTACCCACCCAAAACCTTTTACTTGAGACTAGAGCGTGATACTTGAGGATGTATTGTTTTTCTTCATTTATAGAGTAGTGGAGAAAAATTACCAACTGGTCCTAGGAGGTAAAGCTTCTGGCAAATAGAAACGTCAGAGTGGAGGTTGGGGGTTTATGGATGGAAGAGATGCAGAGGCATTGAAACAAACAAGAAAGAGGACCAGAACCTTATTGTTTGCCGTGTGTCGGAGGCATTCAATCCAAGGTCACTCTGCATGTTAGATGGGACAGCGAATACATTCCAAGCACTTCCCACCTTCGTACTTGTTGCTTCATTGCGAAGTGGACCTTTAGTGTCCTCTTGACAGGGTCAATATCAAGTGAGTTGTTAGGCTTCTAGCTACATTGCCGAGAATGAAGCTGTGCAGAGCGTGAATTTGAGTATGAAAAATTTCATACTAAAACTCTTCTAGTCAGTCTAGGAGGAACAATTTCTTAAAAAGAGAATATTTAATTATCGTCAATAAAATTTTACATGCTCCAAAATTTTTCCTCATTATCCTCCCCTATTTACGATATGAACCTTTCATTTTTTCTTTACTTATCAAGTTCACTGGAACCACAAAACTGTATTCCCCCATTGTGCTTTTAATTAAAGCAGGTAAACTTTCAAAACTCCAAAATTTTTTGGTTGCCTAGCTCTTTGAGTTTATACTACTGATTTCTATAGGAATCACTGGACAGCCTTGAAACTGCATGCATAACCCAAGATCCTCGTTCTAGATTTTGTTGCAGCTTTGTGCTTTTTTAGGCCTTAAAACCCAAACCTTTAGCCAAAAAAGCCAGGCAACCAAACATGGCATTAGTAGGATGGATCACTAGAGATTGCTTGCCTGGGACTCTGTTGTGGGAGAATCTTCAACTGGTTTAGTGGTGGGTGCCTCAACATCCTTGTTTGCTGCATCTGCATATTTGAGGAAGATTTGGATATCTTTCTCTGAGCTTCCTATTTCCCCTATGAAACCATTTTCGGTGGTTTGTTTTTGGCCTTCTCTCACTGATTGCTATAGCAATGTCATTGGGGAATAGGTCTCGCAGAACAAAGGCATGGAGAATACTTGTCACAAGCACGGATGCCACAGCGAGCATGGCAAGGCCAGAGAGTGCCACGGAAAGGAATTTTGTTACTATGTTGGGAACCTCATTAGAGAACCTGATGGTTGCAATGGCAGCTCCAGTCATTGGAAAAGTGTACGCCCACCAAGCCAAGGAGAACTTGAACCCTCGAAAGAAATTAACTCGAACAGCCTGTACAAACACCAAAAGAAAGCAATCGTGTCAGTAAGCCAAATATTACATAATGAGGTTTACCAAAAAAATAAAAAAATAAAATTCATGAAACAAATCCACAATTCTTGCACTTGAGGTTATCAAGTTAATTTGTTACTACTCAAGCAGGTGCCTCGAATGTGCAATGAAATGGGCAGGGACACGAGTGTGCATTCCAAGAAATTGGCACATGTGCAAAACAAATTGGACCGCATGTTAAACCATATTCACGCCCAAAATCCAACACAAGTAAAGCAGAAAAGATGATGGAGACCAAATTCCTGATTGAGGTTCATGGCTCCAAGGCAAATGATCCTATTGCTAGGCTCGGTCAGAAGTTTTTAGTTCCCTGCAACATCTTGGAGTCCCATCTAGCAATGTGTCACCACCACTTATTTATTACGAGAAACAAGCTTCAAATTCTCAAATGGAGTGTGGAAGAACATTTTGATTGACTAATATCCTTTCATGAAATAGTAAAGCAAAAATAATTTCTTCTGAAACAATGTTTAACGGGACTAAGTATGAACCATGGCGAAGAATGGTAGTGAAACTATTTTAATGACATTAGATTGCGAGCCAGATAATGCCTGTCCTGGTGCAAGAGTAATCAGGAATAGAAATCAATCCTGCTGTCTACATTTCAATCACAGCTGAAGATAGTGAAGCCCCCTTAAACTACCACTTATTTGCCAAAGAGATACTATCCAAGGGATCCTAATCTGTGTAGCAGAAACCAACAAAGTCAACATAATAAATGCTTATATATTATTGAGTGAAAGGAAGACTAACCAATGAGAAATAGAGAAACAAGGCAATAAAGTAAGCAATCCTTGCCCCATAATCAAATGAACCTTGAATATTTGCCCAGGCTATGGAAGCAACACTGCATGGTGCAACAAACAGGAAGAAAACTGGGTGGAGCTCCTTTGGGAGTGTCTCATTTGTTGGAAGTCTCTGGTAAAGTGTTACGAATAAGACTGTATAGTGAGCCAATCCAACAGCAAAGAAGAATATCGGTCCTTCTTTCAGTCCCATGGATGCACCAGTAATGCCCCCACAAAGTTCCCAACAATAGAGAGATAGTTCGAAGGATTGGCCACCTTTGAAAGCCTCCTTTGTCCTCCCGACATCCACTGTCCATAAATTTTAAGCTCTAGACAAAAGATCGGTGTCATAAGAACATACCAAAGAGCTCCATTAAGGTTTTCAGTAATGGAAGGTGGAACTCCAAGAGCTAAGAATAACAAGGTTATCCATGGGGCAAAGAAGAAGTTTACGCGAATGGGGTGGTAGTATTCACGACGAACCGCTTCAAAGTAGAGTAACACTTTGAGCATGTAAGTGACAAAGACACAGGCAACAAGAGCAACAGATATGTACCATAGGATGAGGTTTACATCCAGGCTTACATGGAGGAATTTTGTGGAGGCAGAGGTGGCTAAGGTTTTCCACATAATAGATTGGCTGCTAATCCCGAGGCAAATACCAAATGAAGAAATTGGAAAACGAAGAAGAAATGGCCATTGCTCGTCCTCAGGAAGCAGTATTTCCTCTGAAGCCTGCAAAATAAAATTACAAATTGTTATCAAATTACAGTAACATTCCCATGTCAATGCTCAATAAGACAAAGGAATCGGATTATTTTACTCAGCAGTGTCCGAAGCGAAGAACAAAATATAATTACAAAGGAATAAAAAAAACTCTCCGGAATGTTTATTATTTTACAATATGGCAAATCATTAACTTACTAAAAAAAAGTAAGATTCATGACAATGTAATGACTGGTTCTCCACCAACAAAACAGGACACTTCCAATTAATTATATAAGGTGAATCTTTTTGGTTGCAATTACTTTCTTTACTTGGACAAAGACTATCTAAACATTACATGCACAAGATGGAAATACATACCCTAAGTGTGTCCAACTCTGGTCCTTCCAAAGCATCAAAATATCTGTCAACAGGTAAGATCTCCACCTCCTCATTCTGCATAGTGTTTTCCTCTGGTCCAGTTTCCCGAGGCTTTCCACGCAAATTTGATTTCTGTCTTTCAAGCCTGCCGGACCATGTTTTAAATGAATCAAATCTTTTATCCTTCATCCTGTCAACCTTTTGATTCCTTGGTGGAATCTCCGTGGAGTTCAAAAATTTTCCACCTGCTGTCATTGGCTGAGAATGAAATGTAGCCTGTTGAACACCCAGAGGTGCAGGCATAGGATTTGTGGGATCATAAACTGTTCCATCATGGTCTCTGAAGAGAACTTTTTTAGTGCCTTGTAAATGAACTTCCCTGGGGGAAGAGGGCATGCTGATAGAAACAGACTGCATTCTCTCAGACTGGGAATGAGCAATCTGGCTAAGGATGGCAGCTCTTCCAGTTTCCTAGGGTAATGAACCAAGAATTTATATATGTTGGATATAGTAGCTGAATTATATAAAATGCTCCAATTTATAAAATTGTCTGCATAATAAACAATTAAACAAATTCCCTTTAAACTTAATTTTCAGAGTGCATACGTTTTGAGAGTCACATAGAGCAACACCATTTTGCAAGCAGATTTTCGTATAGAAAAGAGCACTGGATCAGGAATAAATGCTTCATCCGAAAATATTTTTTCTTTGAATTTCTACCAACCAGTTATCTGAAAACAGAGTTGAACTCGAATGGCCAAAGGAATCTTTTTAGGTTATTTCAAAAAAAAAAAAAAATCAGAATCTGCATCAAAAATTTTCACTCTGGCACTTTTCCACTTCAATAAATTTGTTTGAAATGAAACAATTCTTGGAAATAAACAGCTAAGTACTTCTTAAACATCCTCCCTTCTGCCTTGTCTTTTAAGATTTGAGTATCTGACTGATGAAACACACCACAGCTACCTATTTAGGCATATATGATGCACCATAATTGAAGCTACACTACATCAAAGTATATATTTCTTATGCACTCCTTGGTGGTAAACTTACAGAGCTGATGCATCTTAAGGAGAGGGAAGAAAAATAGTATGGAATGACCAAAAACGAGTAGAATAGATGGCATACAAAAAAACAAAATGTTTTTGTCAATCTCACTTTATCCACATATGCAACCATGGCCGTTTTCAAATCAAAATAACCAAGCATGGACATGTAACTCAGAGTTATGTCACTAAATGAGAATGACAACCAGACTAAAGCTTTCCTTGAGGATCTTTCACATTCTTAATTCATGAAATTCCATGCAACACAGCAAGTTCAAATAGCATGGTGGTTCCTACCCAGTGCTGTAGAAAATAAATTTTGAACACAACAGAATACAATTATGTGACACGCATGATTATCATATATTGAATGCTTATAATTGTATCCTAGACATTCGGTGAACAATCAAAAAGTTAACAACAGATATGCGGTGAAGGAAAAACAATGATTCAGCTTTACCATAGCGCAAAAGTTAAAACTTACTGTCGGAGAGTGACTCCGCAAATTTTGTTGCCCCTTAACACCATCAAAGCCGTCCACCTCATTTGCGGTTATGATTCTAATGAGTGTTGGAAGTGCTTCTGGGAATATTGATCTAACAAATGTGGATGTCCACCACCTTCCATGATAAAGCAACTATACCAACAACTACAAAAGTTTCAGTTACACGGTTTCTCAGAGACAGGGAAACAAATAGCACTGTATGGAGCTAAAGAATTTAAGTTGTCATGGTACATATCCATGTTATTGACAATTTAATAAACCCGAATACAGATCTAAAGTTTTCGTCCGTTTATTGCTCTAACAAATAGGTTCTATTAGTGCATAATTTTCGCCAAATTATAATACCCGAAGAAAACAACATGTCCTTTATAATAATTTTTTGTCTATAGCCAGCCAAATCAATCAATAATCCTCGTAAGCCAAACCAATGTCTTAAACCAATTTCAGAAAATTCTCTGGCAACTGAGATTTTATTCTTGTCCCTCCGTTTATCTTGTAATCCATCATAATCATAATCTATATGTTTGTGAATTAAAATAAAAATCTTCAGATGAGAAACTGAATTTTTCTAAAAATTACATAAATATAATGTTGGCAGATGATAGAATAAGAATTTTCAAGCAAAGCATATGTACACATATGTCATAACAAGATTTTTCTTAAAAAAATAAAAAATAAAACAGATATTTCAGTAATTTTCTGTGGTAGTGATCCCTCCACCAATTTTATACATACATTTTTGAATCAATGGATGTCAAATCTCAATAGGGGACAGCACCGGCATCGAAATAGGTTTCTCCTACATCCATGTCAGCCTTCTTCCAATTATAAATTTTGGATATGGATCAATCAATCCATTATTCCATTTCTTTTAAAAAACAAATACAGAACACAATTAACAGATTGTCCTGCTGAAACAAAAATCTAGAAGACAAATATGCAAGATCACAGATTGTTGCAGACAAAGAAGAAAAGAAGCTGCACCTTCAAATTCTAAAGCACTCTCCCAACCGAGAGCAGCCCGCAGGATTGAAGTTGATAATTATCAGTTCAACCAGAGCACCAAGAAGAAGAGTATCCTTTTACTGAAAAAGAAGAGTTATCCGAAAACTCAAATCAATGCCAGTTTTTATATAGAGGATCGCAACGTGCGGGAAAATAAATATCAGTTTTGGAGGAAGTCTGCAACATAGATTTCAACCACAAGATGCAGTATAAATACTATGGGACATGGGTTAGTCCTGCAACTGCTACGCCAATCGCAGTTCATATGCGAAGAAATACATCTACTTAACGTGAAAGTGACACACCTTTTAATAGATAAAAGCAAAAGATTAAGGAGAGGGGAAAAAATATTCTACCTACACGGAACCAGCGGGTGACCAAAGCAAATATGGACTTGAAAATTTTATTGTCAACCCAAACTTTATTTACTTAATTTCCCACTAAGAAATTATGTTAGACTGCATCCACTAGACAGCTATTAGTAGAATTGAACTGTAGAAATAGTGAAATCTCCATAAATATGACACGCTATGATTGTACAGCTCAGAAGGGGATTACAACTTTTACTCATGCCAGATCTAAACCAATCTTTGACAAGGAACTTCCCCATTTCAAATACACAACTTCAAAACTCAAAATGAAGAAACAAAATTTCTATATAATCAAAACAAGCAAAGAGAGATATAATTGATGAAATTACCAGGAAAAGAACTCTTGGGATTTTTTGTTAGCAGCTTACATTACTGAGATTATGAATGCACAGACTACAGAGGAGCTTCTTCGAGACAAAATTATGACTCCACAGTTTTCGCAACAATTAGATATGTGGGGTCCAGTCCCCGTGCGTTAAAGACAAAGCCAAAAGGCTTTGTGTAGTGCTTCAAATGGCTGCATTAAATGCAGCAGAAATCCTTTGACAAATGGAGGAATGAGCACCAAAAGAAGGCGTGCATTCTTTGACAATGCAGCAAATTTCAGCCGATCATCATTGAATGTGAAGGAGAAAATTTGGTCACTCCACGCCTATAAATTGTGGAGCTCTTGGCCTTCTCAAGATGCACCAAATAGAGAGAGAGAAGAGAGCTTCAAAGTTCTTTTAGTGAGAAGTTCCAATTAAGAAAAAGTTTTATTATACGGGAAGGGTAAAAATACTCTCGTGAATGTGATATGAAAGGGAAAATTTTTTTGTGAGTAAATATCTTCAGTTGATAGTAATACTCCAGAGTAATACTCCAGAATTCTGTATAAATTATTTCCTGTAATAGTGATATTTTTCTCCTCTTGGTTTGTAATTTTTCGTAGCTCGGATTTTTATATAAATTTTTGTGTTTTTATTTTATTTCATCGTAAATTTACTGTGTATTTATTTGTCACAACCCGAACCGTTATTATGACCGGCACTAGGGTCTCCAACCCTAGTCAGCCTCACCACAACCAACCACACCCAAAATACTCATTTGATCAAATAAAAGTAAACCAACGTCCAATGACCAGTACACAACCACCAAGATCTATTTGAGAGTACAAAAGAGTTGTTCTAAAGTACAAAATAAAGAAGTACAAAATAAATATGTCTGTACATCAATCCGTCCACTGATCCACGCTTAAACTCTGTCACACCAAACGAGCCAAGAACCACAAGCCAAATCTAAAATGTTTATAAAATCCTTTGACAAATGAAGGGATGAGCACCAAAAGAAGGCTTGCAATCTTTGATAATGTATCAAATTTCAGCCAATCATCATTCAACGCGAATGAGAAAATTTGGCCATTCCTCGCCTATAAATAGAGGAGCTCTTGGCCTTGTCAAGATGAACTATAGAGAAGAGAACTTGAGAGTGTTTTTTAGTAAGAATATCCGAGAGAGAAAAATTCTTATCATGAGAGAAGAATAAAAATACTATAGTGAGGGATATATAAAATTAAGATTTTTTTTGTAAATGAGTATCTCGAGTTGATAGTAATACTTGAGAATTTTGTATAAATTTCTCTTTAAACTAGTGATATTTTTGCTTTTCTTGATTCATGATTTTTACCAATGTGAATTTTTTACGTAAATTTTAGTATTTATATTTTTCTTTATTGTTAATTTACTGCACATCAATATTTATATTTTTCTTTCTTGTAAATTTATTATGTATCTATTTTTTATACTACGGTTATTCTGCCCCCCTACAAGATATAAATTAGAAGGTTGAGTCCAGAGGAAGCTGATTTAACGACGGAGAACTTCTTAACATATGCAATAGAGCGAATCACACTGCTGAGTCGATCCCGTGAATCACACTGCTGGGTCCAACCAAAGCTCACAGATGTCTGCAGCTGAAAAGATAACTAGGGATGACAGGATTAAGATCACATTGAATCATATTTAAATGCAATGTACGCGTCTGCCAAACCATACTGAAAACTACAGTTGGAGGGGAAAAAACAGAAAAAGAAAATGAAGGAATTCAAATTCAAATTGAACAGAAACGGCTAAATTAGGGATTTGTTGCCTCGCAGCCTAGAGTTTTGAAGCTATCACATCATCATGGCACCCGCGATTCGTGGACCGCCTGGAAAGTGAAGCGAACACGAAAGCTGCGCTATGAAAATGACTCAAGCATGCAATATAGGATTTATAGAGACGCCAGCTAGAGTCTCCACACCAGCCCACCAAAGATAAACCGATGACGTAATTGAATATTTAATGAATTTAATAGAATGCATTCAGGAAAACGACATCGCCTACCTCGAGATGGTCCACGACGAGGAACTTTCTGTCGATTGACCGGTGGGAAATGTCAGGTTCCCACGCTACGGCTCTCTGGAATTGTTCTCTGGTAGGCTAGGCCTGTCTACGGCCTTTGAACTGGTCC